CGAGAGGGCTTTGATCCTTCGACTGTTATTCTGTGAATGACGGGAGGCAAGATGGGCAAAACTGTCACACGATTAATAAATTTAAAGCAAAAATGTTCTTTAAGGGGGGCCAAAATTTCGAAAAAGCCCTCTAATGATTTTTTTGTGGGCAAATGCCCACCCCTCATTTGACTGTGGATTCGCCTATGAGGGTTAGGGTTAATTTTTTCAACCCCTTTCAATATCAGGTTGAGTTCGAGTAGATTTATCAACCAGTATTTAACCTGAATCTGGAATCTAATTATACATTTCAAGTCATGTATACTTCAACATACAAAGCAGCTCATATTTGTATCCTTCAACATACAAAAGAGTCACAATAAAATCATTTTTTTAATATAAATGGGTTGGCAGGTCGGATTAAGTTTAGGATTTTGATTTATTTATTAAATAGGTCGAATGAATTCAAATTAGGTCGATTTCGGATCGGATCAAGTTGAATCCGATTTGAAAACCCATTTTGACACTTATAGGTCTAATAAACATAGAAATTTTAAAAGTTGGAAATTAAGTTAAGAGAATTAATTAAGTATTTTAATATATTAACACAAATAAAAAATATTGGAAAATATTGAGAAGAAAACAAGCCACGATCTTATTTGACAGCGTATTGTCAAACAAATAGAATCACGAGAACTAAAGCTTTGAGATGTTTTGGCTCTTAGTGGATATCAGTAACGACAAAGCTGCTGGGATTTTTTTTTTTTATGTTAAATAAATCAATTTTAATACTTTATCCTAAAGGATAATGATATGGCTCTATTTTTTAATATATTTTATAATAATTTGTTTTTGTAATTGCATGAAAGCAAAGTGTAAGAGAATTGGCCATTAAATATTTTATTCAAAGAAAAAAAATGTATTCGTTGATAGATCTGAGTTTTAGCTGTGAAACTTATCTAAAAAATATAAAACAATTTAATATGGCTGAAAAAAATCATATGATTTGCACGAATCTTGAGACAATATTTGAATATGAAACTTTTGAAATTAAAATCATGATGATGTGAACATCAAATATGACATGATTATTGTTGAATCGAATGGCTCGAAGAGACGAATCAAACGAGTCTAAGACCACTAAATTCCGACATCATTAAAGCACTTAAATTCTGAAAAAGTATTTCATAAAGAAGTGATTTGATATAGACCGTACGATCGAGTGTTTTGGATTTTAGTTCAAATTAAAAAAAAAAAATCAACCAAAAAGCATATAAATAAAGCCTCATTCTACATAAGGAGGATAAAAATTAAATAGAACTATTATGTATTGGTCAAATTTTAGATTACTTGTCCCTTAGAATCTTTTTATTTTAGTAGGTTCACTTTTCTATAAATAGAAGAAGTTGTAATAGTGATTGTAGGCCAATTGAAGAGGAATAAAGGAAATTAATGTAAGCTCTCTCTCGCTCTCTTCCAAGAAGCTTCTTCATCCTCCAAAGAATTGCATAACAAAGTGATATAAGAGCCTGGTGGAGATGATCTCGAAGAAGGTGTTCTTGTAATCAATAAAGAGAGGAGGCGATCGCTATCAGTGCGCCCAACGAGCATGCTCATGTGAAATTGTTCGTATGCAGGGTTCATGTGATCAGGGAGGTGGGCCTTTGGCCCGACGCAATCGCAGCTGATGTTGCAAGAGAATCGTGTGAAAGACAGGGTACAAGCGCAGTTGCTCATGCACGGTAGAAGACTGAGCGGGCACTTAAAGTACTTATTGTTTATTTAAAGGATAAATGAATAATTCTTCCAATTTAGATTCTAGGTCATCACATAAAGTGTTAATTACATGATTTTATATGATTTCAGGTAAAGATAAGAAACCTGCACACTGAGGCTAGACATTGATATATATATAATATTCTTTTGTAGCAAGTTACAGTTATTGTATATATTACTTCGGACTTTAATCAGTATGTAAATATTAACTGTAATATTGTAATTATATTTTTTGTTGTTTGTATTTTTTCTAAATAGAATCAGTCATGTCTAGTTGTTAATGAATTAAAAAATAATAATAAATTACAAAAGAAATAAAATTATTCTATTTTAGATATCATGATGTTACAGTCCGCCTGTGGATACCTACTTTCTATAATCCTTATTGGAAAAATCAAGCCATGTTATTATGTGCTAACTTGCTTTTAGTGGACACTTGATTTATGTAATCTCTCATAGGAAAAATCATATGTTTGTTTTCAAATAATCCCCCTCTTCTTTAGCCATTGAAAAAAATGAGAATTACTATATTACTTACTACACATTGAATGTTTTATAATATTACTATTTTTTCTTTCTTTCAGTATTTTTCATGTAAAAAATATCTAATCTTACTATTTTTTTCTTTGTGTGCTAAATTTTTAGACAACGCTGAGACGTAAAACACATACTCTATCGACTCAAATTTTCTAGCACATAATAATTATATTTTTTTTCATAGTTAGTGCACTTTAAATTTAATTGTGATTTTTTTTTTTTTGGAAAAAGGCCACAAAAATTATAATTAAATTTAAGTATGATAATGATATGCACAATAAAATAGAAGAATATAGGCCGGAAATATAAAGTTTATCGTCTTAGTGTTGTACGAAAATCCGGCACGCAATCAGATAAGAGAGAGGGTCTAGCATTTATGAGACACCAAGATTTTTACGTGGAAAACCCCTGAAAAGGGGGAAAAACCACGGGGCCTAGCCTAGTTTGAATGAATCCACTAGTATTGCAGTCGATTACAAATGAGGCCCTTCCTTGGGAGAAGGCCTTAGCTTGATGTACATCTTATAGAGTACATTACATGATGTAAATACAAAGAGCTACTATTGACATATTCGCTTTGTTGGAAGGACTGTAGTCGGCGGGCGACGGAAGTCAGGAGGACTGTAGTCAGCTGGTGACAGAGGTCGGAAGGACTGTAGTCGGCGGGCGACGTAAGTCAGGAGGACCGTAGTCGGTGGGCGACAGAGATCGGAAAGATTGTAGTCGGCGGGCGACATAAGTCAGGAGGACCGTAGTCGACGGGCGACGGATGTCGAAAAGACTGTAGTCGGCGGGCGACGTAAGTCAGGAGGATCGTAGTCGGCTGGCGACGGAGGTCAGAATGACTGTAGTTTGACGACGAATATCAGAAGGACAACGTCAGGTAGAAGTCCAACAATGGAAAGAAATCCATCTTCGCGTAAACGTCCAGAGAAGTCCGATAACCGGTAGAAGTCCGGCGCCGGGTAGAAACTTGGCGAAGAGTGAAGGTTCGACGTCGGGTAGAAGTCTGACGTCAGTTGGTGGCAAAAGAGAACTCCGACTTCACTTGGGCGAAGTTTCGGCGTTAGGAGAGAACTCTGTTGCAAATTGGGAAGAATTTCAGCATCATGTGGAAGTTGGTAAGAATTTATGTGTTCTCCCGAATATCACGCAGAATCCCGGCGTGTTCGGGCGACAAGAAGAGCTCCGGCGGTGGTCGAGGAGGAGGGGATTCTCCTTTTCCCCTTTCTCTTCTTCTTCTTCCCTTCTTCTTCTCTCTCTTCACTTGAGTCCCCTTGGTGTAGAATGAGGGCTCTATTTATAGTTTTTCTGGAGTGGCATAGCCCGTAAATAGGAGTGAGATCAGGGGCGAATTGGGAGTGTTTTGAATGGACGGCCGATATCGAATCCTTTGATCATGCACCATTCGTTGGGCATTTGAAGGCCTTAATGATGTCGAAATTCGGCGATCTTGGGCTCGTTGGATTTGTCTCGTCGAGTTGTTCGATTCGAGTATAAGCTCGTCAAAATCGGAGACCGTTTGGTAACTCAAATTGTGCTTTGAACCTTCCGACAGCGCTTTGAGCCCTTGATTTGGACTCATTTGGGCTCGGATTGGGTTGATCTTGGTGTCATTGGGTTCGTATTTCCGAGACGCTCAGTTTGACTGTAAGCTCGCTGAAATCAGAGTTCGGGTGTTCCTAGAATTAATTCTTGAAGTTTCCAACTAGCTTTTGCTCGAGATTCGTGCCAGACGTATCAATATAAAATAGTTTAAATAGTTAAAACTATTATTTTATTAGAGGGAAAATTACAGGAATGCTATTGCACACACTGAGTTCTTTCTTAGTCTGGTCCTGTGCGACTGAAATATTTATGTCATTTATTTTTCATATAGAATCTAAGGCCTCGCTGGTTTTGAGTTTAAGAATAAATTTTGAAAATTTATTTGTTCGGAGTTTTTAATTTTTTTTTTTTTTTTTGTAAAACATTAAGAACTGATAATTCTATCATTCAATGTGTGCAATAAGAAAACAAATTTGGCATTTAAAATTCAAAAAATTAATTATTATTTCTTCAAAATTTTCTTAAAAAGTTGAAAAAAATAAAGCCCAAAAATTTCAAATAATATCAAAAAACCAACGTCTACTGTATCATAAACCCTAGGATTAGACATAGATTAATCAAAAGGCTAAAATTTTATAAGTTGTCTATAAAATTATTATCAAACATAAAAAATATTTTTTTTCAAAATTATTATGATATTATAAAAATTTGTATGCATATTATTAATTATGAAATTATGCTTCTCTTATAAGTATAACATTTTTGTTCTGTTAATACTTCAAGGATTACTTTAAAAATTATTGTCTCTTGCTTAACATCTTTTTGTTCTTTGTTCTTTTTTTGAACGGGGTATCTATCCGCTAACAATCCTACAGAGAAGATGTTTAACGGAGTAACTAACTCCTCAGTATGTCTAGCAGCAAACAGTCACACGGGTACCGGACCACACACTTATCTTCTATCAACTAGAAGTCGTGCCGTTTGAGAGGGGAATCGAACTCCGATGGAAGGTTCCTAAGCCAATCAAACTCGTCCATCAACCCAGCTAAGTTCGATAGGGTCTATTCTTTGTTACTTTATTACCATCTGTTTTACTTAACACATCTCTTAAATGCATTCAGTAGAAAAATTTAAAAAGTTGCGCAAAAAGGTTTAAGGTCTGCTCTCAAGGTGAAGAAGCTGTCTCCAATAAAAGGCCATCTCCCCTGCTCTCTTCCTGCTCCAAAATACCTTTCTTTCTTCCACATTTTCCGAAAGAGAAAAAAAAAAATTTATTGAGTACAGAGAAAGAAGGCAGAGAACAGAAAAGAGAAAATGGGTTATGAATCATCACTGCTCTCTTGCATCTTCTTCCTTATCTTCTCCTCTTTGCTGCTGCTTCTCAACTCCCACAGAGTTCCATTGCCGGTTAATCTGCAGAGCTTGACCGCGCTTTCCTTTGAAGATGCCTATACGCAGCTCTTCGGCGACAGCAATCTCATGCTTCTCCGCGATGGAAAGACTGTTCACATCTCGCTTGATGAGAGAACTGGTAAAGATTGAATCTTTAATGCTTTTCTAGACTATTTTTGTTTTTAAGTGTCTGAAGCTTCGTCGATTGAAATGGTCAGGTTCTGGATTCGCTTCTCAGGATCTCTATCTCCATGGATTCTTCAGCGCCTCAATAAAGCTTCCCTCAGATTATGCCGCCGGAGTCGTCGTCGCTTTCTATGTGCGGTTCTTCTGATTGTATCAAAGTTTGCTCCTTTCTGTGTTTCTGGGGATTTTATGAGGAGAAAGATGAAATCATTTTGGTTTTTATAGATTTATTTTCCTTGACGGATTAAGAATCCCTCACAACAATCTCGTTTCGTTTGTGCTTTTTTCTCCTATTTGGATTTAGAATATCATTCGTATCCTTTTCTTTCTGACCGTTCCGTGTTTCCTTGCTTTTGAAAACACACACACGCACATACAAACACTATGATTTATCCGGTTTAGCACAATCTGATGAAAATTCTTTTTTTTTTTTTTTAATTTCTGGTTTAGATGTCCAATGGAGATGTGTTCGAGAAGAACCATGACGAGTTAGATTTTGAGTTCTTGGGGAACATCAGAGGAAGAGAATGGAGAGTTCAGACCAACGTTTATGGCAATGGCAGCACTGGATTTGGAAGAGAGGAGAGATATCAGTTCTGGTTTGATCCTACTGAAGATTTCCACAACTATTCCATCTTGTGGAGCAAAAACCGGATCTTGTAATCAAATCTTTTCAATTCCACTTCAATGTTTCATAAAAATCATCCCTTTAGTTCCCGTAAATCAAGGATTCTACTTTGAAAATCTGCTATCTAATCTCTCATTTTCAGCACAGATATCAGCTGTTTGTTTCAATTAAGTCGCATTATATCCGTTAGATTACAACATTCTGATCATTTTGTGCTGTAATTTTGTTTTGGTTGAACAGATTTTACATCGATAACATCCCTATTAGGGAGGTGGTGAGAACAGAAGCCATGGCTGCTCACTTCCCTTCTAAGCCTATGTCTCTCTATGCCACAATCTGGGATGGCTCCAACTGGGCTACTTCCGGCGGCCGCTATAAGGTCAATTACAAATACGCTCCCTATATCGCTGAGTTCGCCGACCTTATCCTCCACGGCTGCGCCGTCGATCCCATCGACCATCTCTCGACATGTCGAGGCCACGAAACTAAGCTCTATGACTCGATCACCGCCACCTCCGACCAACTCTCTGCAATGAAGAAGCTGAGGAGAAAGCACTTGACTTACTCCTATTGCTATGATGGCGACCGCTACCCGACACCGCCGCCCGAGTGCTCCGTCGATCCTCGTGAGGCCGAGCAATTTGAGGGTGCGGGAAGCGGCCGGTCTGGTCACAGACGACGCCATGGAAAGCGTCGTCACCGTGCGGCGGCGGCCGTGGCCGCAAAGGACTTATAATTTGTAGTATGAATAAATTTGTTAACTTGTTGTAATTCTTGCATTTGATATTGGGGGAGGTGATTATTTTGTGAATCAGGGGGTGTATAGGAAGCTCTAAGAACTTTGAAAAGTTGATGGATTTATGATTATTTGGATCTTTTTATATTTATATGGAGAGAGAATTATTATTCAGTCAAATATCTTCTTTCTTTCTATATATTTCCTTTTTGTAGTGTTAAATCTTTGGGTTCATATCAATGCTTCATCTCTGCACCTGAAATAAATATTGAATTAAAGGTGGGATTTTTCTTTTAAATGTGAAATTTGTGGCCTTCTCTATAATGGCTATGGAAAATGCTGAGATTATTATGAGTGAAGTACAATGATCTTCATTTCATTTATAAATTATTTAGCAAAATTATCATCATTTTTTTTAAAAATAAATGAGTTATCAATTATATAGTTTATAATTATGAAACTCCTTATATAAAATGTCTTGATTCTTAAATATGGAGTCATCTTTCGATGCAACAGTTGAAATTTCATTAGAAATTTTAGTCAAATGTGTTGACCTCAGAGGCGGATCCAACTTAAGCCCTAGGTCTGGGGCAATTGATGCTTTATGTAATTTGCCCGCCTTAAAAGTTTTAAAATATTATGAAACTTTAGTCAAATGTGCTCATATATTAGCATTTTTAAGATGGTTCATCTCAGGGGCGGATTCATCTTAAGCCCAAGGGGGCAATTGATTTTTTATATAATTTGTCCCCATCTATCTATTTTTTGGTCTTTATTATAAGATTTTTTAGGCAATTGCCCAACATAAAAGTTTTAAAATACTATGATCTTTAAGCAATTCACCTCCCCCCCCCCCCCCCAAACAAAAAAAAAAAAAAAAAAAAAAAACATACTTCCTCTCATACATGACACATACAAGCCTTCATCCTCTCATACATGAACACCCACTCTCCTCTCCTCTTGAAGTTACACGAAATCAGCCTCCTCTCCACACGAAGCCCCCTTCGTCGCTCCTACAGCAATTGCACGCCGGTAATCTTCTAAATCTTGGGTATATCCTCGACATATTCATCTTCTTTCTTTTCCTTTTAATAATTTTAATGATGAAAAAGTGATTTGAGAAAAAAAAAAAAAAAATCTCTACACTTTTACTTGTAAATTCCCCCCTCCCCATCCCCATGAAAATTAAGGAACCTGGTTGACCTCCTTGAAAGTTACATCAATCACAGAAGAAAACTACGAGATTATTATGTAAAAGTGGATACTATCTTGATAGTTAAGAAATTGATTTGCTACAATAATAAAAATGTATATACAATGTTGAATCTTCCACATCTTCTCTTAAATCAAAATATTTAATAAATAAGAGTTCTATTGTGATGATTTGTGAGTCTTCAAATTATTATTGCTTGCCCCACAATCTCCTTTTCTTCATGTGCTGTGGAAGGTGTGAGGTTCTTTTTATTCATTTGAAATGCAGAAGGTTCTCTCAGAAGTGGAAGCCAGGGAAAGAGGAATCTTGACTCTGATTGGGAATGGATGGGCCAGATTGTATTAATTGATGATTTATGATTTTTTTTTTATATGTTTTAAATTTAGTTCAGATAAAATTATTTTAATTTCTGTTGATAATTTTTAAAATATTCATGAATTAAATTAATTAGCAACCATAATAAATTTGTGATCATATTTCCTCAGTAGGATAAAAGGAGCAATTTATCAAATAATTTATAAGGCATGGACTATATGAATATGATGCTTCTCATTCAGCAAAAGCTATTAAGCAAAGAAGATGATGGTCATTTACTTGAGAGATTATTCTGTGCGGAGTACGAACGTGTCCGGAGGCCAATCAGAATGCGCTACGTCATCCAATGCAATGCGCACTGAGTGATATGGCACGTCCGGATTGACCTCCGGACATGTCCGGACACCGCACGTAATAATTTTTTCATTTACTTTGGCTTCATTTGAGACGGCTTTTTACTGTTTTTTAAAACAACTTTTTAATACCAAAATTTCTAGTTGTAAAAATTTTTGTACTAAAAAATTATTTTGAAAAACAGTAAGAAAGATAACCCAAAAAGAGCATTAACTTTTTATTTATATATTTCTGTTCGGCTGAGTAATATATGAGTTGAATTAAATAATATATTTTAATTTATTAATGAAGTTAGTTCATATTTTACTTAATAGTTAACACATTAAATTAAAAAAATTATATAATTACAGATGTGAAACCTTATTGACAAAATATGTAATTCTAAAATAAGACAATCTACAGATATTATGTAACAAAAATATTTATGTTGCAATTTTTGTTCATTTTTATTTATCTAACTGTAGACCACATTAAATACAATTACATGTAAAGCAAATATGGTGAAATTGAATGGTCAGTTTGATTGCAGAAATTAGCTGTCATAGCCTTTTTCTTATACACTGATGTGAAATGTAACTAAATTGGCCATTAATATTTCGGCAAAAATCGAAATTAAAGGATATTTGTTCTGCTTTGCAGCTTTTATAAGCACTTTTCCTCTGCGGAGTTCACACTTTTCAAATATTGCATCCAACACTCATCTGATTTTTTTTTTTTTTTGGAATTTACAATGAAATAGAATAGCCAAACAGGAGTTTTTTTCAGAAAATAAAACAATTTATGAGAACATTTTGATCAACATTGTCATCTTTTTAACTTTTTTTAAAGTAAAATGATAAATAAATATTAATGTAATATTAATTTTAAAATACTTTTAAAAATTTAAAATTTTTCCTAGTTTCAAATCTCAAATCTTCCTAAAAATTATCTGATTTTAGGCTTCTTTTAAGCCTGTTTTTTTGTTACTTCTTAAAACAACTTATTAGTACAAAAACTTTAATTTTTGTAGTAAAAAACGGCTTTAAGAAGGAAAAAAATCATCCCAAATAAAGCCATAATGACAATGACAATGCATATTGTATTACATCATTCTCATCTATAAATAATATTCTATAAAAGTCAAACTAGTCACTATTTTTTTACAGTTTTCAAATCAATTGTATTAAAATTTGTTTTAGAAACAATAAAAAAAATATTCTAAACAAAATTTGAATCAATAGCTTTGAGATTCAGGCCTGTACGCAGCTCATCTTGATCTATTAGTTGAGAGGTTTGACTATCAATTAAGAGGTCTTGAATTCAAATCTTACGTACTTGATGTATTTATACGTTTGTTTTAGTTGACTTAAATGTACCCAAAAAATATTCAGAACTAATAGTCATATTAGGGTTATGTGCAAGTTCAAGGTTCTTTTAAAAAAAAGTTCAAGGTTCTTTGTTCAAGGCAGGATCAGCTATTGACAATGAACAAACATTCATATTGAACTAAATTAATTAAACTATTAAAATTTTAAAACTAACCTGCACAGAGGCATTTATATGTCCAAGGCAGCATGACCAATCACAGGCAGGACTGGCTTGTCCAAAGTTTGCAGACCTGAACTTGTCTAGATTGAATGTTCATCTCAGTATCCAATCCATTAATAATATTGAATGAAGAGCCACCACCACACCTTGCTTGATACAATATGCTTCTTTTTTATTGGTTTCAAAGAGGAAAAACAGATGAAGACAAAACATAAGATGCGAGTGAACATATGGGACAGCAAATTGTTTAATATACTGCAAAAAAATATAGATTACTTGCAGAGAATTCTGAAACATTTTGTAAACTGAACTCCCAATAGAAATTCAGAAGAGAAATTAAGAGAGAAAATCACTATGCATTCTTTTCGGCCACAAATTCCTTTATAATTTACCTTATGATGATGGTTTCAAATTCTTCAACAAATTCATAAAGTACAAAGTGATGATCGAAATAATTCTTCTTCAACAAGTCCGCTAAAGCATGAAACAGATGACCGAAGAAATTATCTAAAAGTTCACATAAAGTCTGAGGCTGAACTCAGATTGAAGTCTCTTCAATTAAGAGAGAAAATCACTATGCATTCTTTTCGGCCTCAAATTCCTTTATCAACATGAGAAAATTGTGAACAATTCGTTTCCCTTCTGTGGTGATGACACTCTCTGGATGAAACTTCACTCCCTGATCATCATTAACCGCTATTAGAAACTCCATGATCATCATTATTCATTAACCACTATTAGAAATAGCAATATGAAGTAGATTAATAAAATAATCAACAACAACAATCAAAAAGTAAAAACTTGTTTAGATGCTAACAATGATATATAAATTCAGAAATTTGTTGAAAAGATGATGAATAATGGCACTAGAGTACTGATCTCCATATACATTGGCAAGTTTGTGGTAATCTAACATCAAGCACATGGAATGTCCCTACCAGGCTGACAAACAATGCTTAGAATTTGCTCCCCAACTTTGATGAAACCCAAATTTCAAGAAGCTTTTTAAAGCGATTTTGACAATTTCCAGCAAGTGGAGAGACTTGAATCATTGTAGCAATAAAAGCAAACACAAGGCGTGGAAACCGAACTTGAAGGGCTGCCGGCTGCCAAATTTGGGGCATTATGGCGTGGAGCCATGAAGAAGAGATCATAGTCAGCATTAAATTAACGTATATTGAAATTTTGATGCATTAAATTTGACTTATGATAAGAAAGGTAGAGACAGACCTAAAAAGATTTGGTTAGAGAATATTAGAAATGATCTTTCTTTATTGGATTTAAACGAGAATTTGACTTTTAACAAGACACAATGGAAAAAAATTATTCAGGTAGCCGATCCCACGTAGTGGGCAATGTTGTTGTTGAAATTTGATGCATTATAACAAAGATTAATAGTAAAAATACAATAAATAGAAGTTAAGTGGTAATAGCATTATTGCATTAGATCCTAAATAAAATATATAATGCTCAGACTATAGCTATCCTTACGGCCTTTGTGTTTGACTGGAAAGCCAACCACCACTGCTTTGAGTACAAGAGGATGGAAAACTCTAGAGAAAGGTCAACAAAGGCAATTAAAGTACAGGTAGGGGTAGAATATAATCACTTGTCGCATAAATGATGGAACATGATTGCTCCATACAATTTATGTACCATACTTGATTTGCAAAGACATAATTATGGGCTTGTGGCAGGGCATTTGGTAATTTGGTTAAATACTTTGTCCGAACTGTAGATTTTATCAAGGCCCTTTTTAACCCCG